TCATGCCGGGCTGGCCAAGAGTTGTTTACGATGTGTTGCTGATGTGCCTGCTGCTCGCAAAGCTTTTGTGTATTTTATTTTTCATTTGTGTTTTTCATTTTCCTCTCAGCCAGCTCGCTGCGTGCGAAAGAAAATGTGTGAAAATTCGCGTGGCCAGAGGGAAACTATTTTCACTTGCTTCCCTTTGCTTTTAGCCTAGTTGAGGTGGTGTTCTACTGGTTTTTCTGTCCATTTTTTGCCGCCCGTACTTTAATTACATTTTATTGGTCACCGTGGAGCCGTAATTAGCCCAGCCAACGCTGGTTAACCATTAGAATCTGTTGAATTTATATTGAAAAATACTCTACCATAGGGGAAATCTAAAGAATAATTGTTTTTTGCATGACAACACGCTTTTTTGTTACTTTTCCCGGCGACTGCCACCCGTCGGGCTTTAGACAGTTTTAATTAAATTCCCAATGGGCAGTGCGGAAAGCGATGTCGTGTCATGATAAGTCCCCATGTGGTCCTTCTTATGGATTGTTATTAGTCCCCGTCAGCTGTAGATTAAAGCTTTCAATTTCTTACATGCATACCATGATTAATATCTTTTAAAAAGCAATAAAATGGGGAAAATAGATTAATTGTAGAATAGAAGTTTGAGGGTGTCTAGAATGTGACATTTAAAACTGATATAAGCTTTCAAAGGAATCCATTTTAATGGTGGTCTACACTGCGTATGCGTAATATGCACATGGTGACATGTAAATTGATAAACACAACAATCGAATTGCTTGATTAATTTTACATAAGAAAAGAATTTGAAAAAAAAAATTTAAGAAAAAAAAACAGATGTTTGAAAATATTATAATTTAGAAATCCATGGATACAAATTTTAAAGTGTTACTTTTACTTTTACTTTTAAAAAAGATTAAGTCATTCAGAAAGCTCTAAGACCAAATTAAAACTTATTAAAAGGTTATTTTTAGTACATAAGCAAAACAAGTTTACTAATTATTATAAAACGTATGTGCATTTGTATCAGAAGGTAAATATTCCTGTAAAAAAGGAATACACAAAAACGGAATTTTTTTATTTAACAAATGGATAAACATTCTGGCTAACAAATTGGTTAAAAGTCTCGTCGTAATGGATCTGCCAGTCACTCAATTTGAAAATTGTCACACTGGAGTCAAAACATGACAGTTGTGAGGGTCAGAAAGGGTTCAAAAATCAAAAGCTATAAATAACAAAACAGAGAGTGGAGTCAGGGCAACCTATATCACAATTTTAAGTGAGGAAAGCTCGCCCAATTACTGGAATTGCATTCGCACAACCTATAGGTATAAGTATAAGTATATAAAAGAACCGACAAAACGAAAGCGTAAAATGGGAACCGAACAAACAAGCCCGAAATTCAGCCAAAAAAATGCGTCATATGTTTTTCTTTAATGTATTCTTTTGTTTTTCATGGAATCCAGGAAAAAGCAGAAACATAAAAAAATCACAATAAATGCAGACTGCGTTTGTATGTGTTGATATACATATACACTCGTATGAATATTTCCCCCTGACCGCTTTTAAAAGGCTTCGTTTATGTTTATTCAGTTTGGTGACGTAACGCGTAATTGCTGCCGAAAAACCTGAAGTGATGATGTAAATATTTACATAGCTAATAGAGCCCTCTTTTTACGCTCCTTGTGCGTAAATAATAATCGAGAAATAATAATAATAAATAATAGTGGTCTTGTGGCAAACGGCTGTAATTAACCAGCTGGAAGTCTGCGTGTAGAAAGATTTCAGACTCGAGTCAATACGGAGAAATGGGAAAAACAACAAGAGGAAAATTATGCTGATTGCTGAGGGGATCTCCAGCACTTCTTGGGTTTTCTGTTTGCTCGGACAAAATACATATTGACAGACCCTTCGGGGGTTTTTCAAGCACCGCCAGAACTTTTCCACAAAAACGCCTCGTAATTAGAATAATTATTACCGCTAGTGCGAATGTTTTTTAATGGTTCTTTTACTTTTTGACATTGTTCAAAGATAATTACGGTCAATACCTGTGGGGCCAAAGATTGTTTAAGAAAAGAGTGTGTCCTGCGACTCAAGTGCTGAATTTAATAGCACTTAGCTGGCGGAAATGTTACGGTTTCGTTTGCTGGGGGAAAACAAGAAAATTCTATTGCTTATAACAAAAAGACAAGGTTCCAAGAATTTTTGTTTGAACCAAATAAATACACTGAAAATATTCCAAAATGTATACAAAAAATGTGCTATTTGTTAACATTTTATTTTGGGGAAAAACTAAAACTTAAACATAAACTTTTTCTGCTTAGCAAATTTTGAATAGTTTTTTAATATGCTACTGAAAACTAATAAGCATGAAAATCACACAGTTTTAAATCAAAATATACCAAATATATTACTCAGTAAAATTGATTGCTTTGAAGCCCAATAAATAATCACCGGAAGCTTTGTTTTACGAATTTTTCCAACAGTAAAACCCATATTTATGTTGGCAAGAGAAAGATTACATCATTGTTTTTCATTTTATATATTCCAGAGCCCACACAATTTGAATTGCAAATAGCCCATCAATCTTGCTGCCGCTGAATAGTGTGAAATTAATTCAAATTAATGGCAATCATTGCTCATCTCTGCGTCTGTCAAATGACGTCGCCATATTTAACCAGCGTTTTGTCTTCCGCTTAATCACCCATCCTTTCGCGAAATGTCGGCTATTTATAACTTGAAATCCAACTTCCTTCCCAGAGCCATTTAACGGCTGAAAAAGCGGGCTGCCGAATGCAAACAAGGTCTTCATTCTTGGCTGACAAACGTATTTATTTTGATAGTTCTTCGTTTCTGATATTCCTATTTATTTACGCTGCCCGAGAGCGTGCACAATGCGCCCATTTCAAATCATGAGAAACACAAGCAAAAACATCAGCCTCTCAGATTGATACATAAACGGGAAATTAGTCATGTTAATGATGCGTACATGCAATTCTTTCGGCTCATTTTGTTTGAAACAAAGAATGTAATTGGCCAACTTGATCGAGTGGAGGAGGTCATATATGCCATCTAATTAGCCAATTTAGCACTTGGCAGACGATCTGCATCTAGCAACATCTTCAAGGGAACGCAGCAAAAGGGTCGTAATATTTTTAGATATTTCTCAATTATTTCGGACAGCTCCCTTTGCGCTGCTGAAAACATAAAATGTTGCTCACACTTTCACAAGGTTTTCTATCTAATTGTCATAATTCATCATAGTTTTTTTGAAAAATTGTATTTGAAATATTTTTGCTTAAAATGATTTTGCTGGACAGTGGTTGATAAGAAATTCTTTAAAATTAAAATGAATGACATCAATAACATAAAAGGTTTCACTCACTTTCACAAGGTTTTCGTACATTCCTTGTGGTATTTTTAGCCTTCGTCATAATTTTTTTTTCTTAATTTTTAAGATTTTTATTTAGAAGTATATTACCGAAAAATTCTTGAAATGTAAAATGTGGACAAGTTTTTAAATGTATTATTCAACCCTTGTTATTTGAAGAATTTCTAGTGTTTCTTTTAGTATTTTCGTAAATAATTTGCAGCTCATTTCGGTGCCTTGACAACAAGTTAATGATTTTGTCATAAGGAATTAAGTTAAGACGAAATTAAGTCAATATTAATGGTTATCTGTTTTAGTTTTTCCTTCACTTTTTTAATTGGGTAGTACTAAGTGTTCTACGGTAAAGGAAAATAATAATCATTGATGAGCAACTCCATGTGTTTTTTCAGTACTTTCGTATAGCTATTACAGTTTATTCGAAGGGTATTCTTAGTTTCGGCGCCCTGAAGACACGTCCTTGATTTTCCCATAATTCTCAATTTGCTTTATTATATTGTGTTGCATACATTCAGGCGACGGCAACGGCGGCGAATGCATGGGATTTCCACTGGGGGAGATTTATGAATGAGCATAAATTAGGGGGACTCGTAAATGTTGGCACGCAGCCCCAGACGCCATTGCCACAGTGTACAGTGTAGTGTCCATTACCACTGAATTCCAACCCGATGCGATCCCCATCATTATTTGCCCCTTCGTGCTTAATTTTGCGTATGAATAGGCAAAGTCAAGGACACAAAACGATGACGGCGACGGCGACGGCTTTTCACTGACAACTTCTGCGGTTGCCATTTGGCATACCAATGAGGACCAGCCTTTCTTCTTAATTGAATGCGTCTCCTTCGGAAAATTATCACCCGAAAGGTTTACCCTTAGTCCCCGGAAAAAATGCCGCTTTTTGACATGCTTTAAGCTGTCAACGGGTTGAATATAAATGCAAACACATTTTTTCCCTGTTGCTCTTTTTTTTTGGTCGGCGGAGCTCTTCAAACCAATTTTGCACCTCTCTGAAAAGCCATCGCAAATTGGGCTTTTTTCTAGTCGAAAAAATCTGCGACGAATCTGTCGGGACTGGATTTAGCCAGCTTAGGCTCGTTCTGACCAGATTTAAAAGGCTTTTAACATAAATTATAAAATGTGAATAGTAAGATTGGAAATCCGGTCGAAAACACCGAAATATTAAATATTAAACAGCATTCAAAAGCGATTCCATGAAAAAAATGCAGTGGCTTTTGAATTTACAACACTAAATTATTCTGCTTTTGTGAATAACTTTGGGCTTTAAATAAGGCAGGTCCTTTTAAAGGCAATAAAGATATAATATATAATAAATGTATTATATCATATACAATTTTATATTTCTGTTATAGTTTAATTAAAAACAAGCATTTATATAAGAGGTTTTTTTTAACTTGTAGTATATTTAACATATCATAAGTATGTATGCAGCTATCTAAATTTTTATGTTGTATTCCAACGAATTTTCGACTACTATTAATTTTTTTAGAAACGGAAAATATCTCAATTTCTCAACTTCTAAACTTCTTTTAAAAACCAATATATTCCGAACGTGTTTATTGCATTAAAATGTTTTTCAATATAAGTTTGTCATATTTACTTTTTTAGCTGCTGCTTGCTTTTGGAATTTGTGATATTCCAAAAATTAAAAGTCACTTAGCTCGACCGTTTTTTAAGGGGATTTTCGATTTGAAAAATATTTAAAAACGCACGCGACGATTGCCGTTGGCAGATTTCGTTAGATTTCTTTGGAGAACCGTTAGCGCCTAGAATCCTTTGCAGACTGTTTCGGTTATGGCCAGGTCTTTCACTTTTATCAAAGTGGAAAACTCAACACGGAGCGAGAGAGAGCGAGGAGCGTGGGAGCGAGAGAGCCAAGTTACGTTTACCCGGGGCCAAATCGAGCGTAGGCGCCCATGTTGCTGCAACATGTTGCACCATGTTGCTGGCAACAAACTGTTGAATTGTTTTTCTTTTTGGCCAGCCATTTCCTGGGCTTTTCTTTTGCCTGTGGCTTTTCCATGGCTAAAGCAGAATGCTGGGTTTGTTTTTGTGCGATATGCCGATTTCAAAGAAAACTTTTCGCCTTAGCTTTTTGCAGCTATCTACAAAGTATCATAAATATAAATACATATGGAAATGATTTCCGGCCATGTTGCCACTGCTGTGTTTTCCCTCTCAATTGTGGGTGGCAAGGTTGGTTGGCTTAATTGTAGTTCCCCCAGGGCCTTTTGACTTTCAATGTTTTATCTGCATGCCATATTATAATTCACTAGAAACGAGCTTCCTTCGGCTGCCCTTCGGGCTCAATGCGTGTGAGTGGGTGGCTGGGCTAGGTAGGTTTTCCTTCCCCCAAATTTCCATTTCCCATTTCCCTGCGAGCAGGCAATGTCAAGTGTTACTCATGCATGGTCGCCGAGCTTTTCCCCCTTTTCTGCCCCCTCCCCCCTAAAATCCACCTGGTTTTCTGCTCGCGTGCTGCTCATTCATTATTCATCTTTTACTTTTTACTTTCTGCCTTTTCTTCGTTTTCTATTATACACATGTATGTTTTGTGAGGACTACAATTGTGCAAGGATTTATGTCTAAACCTTTAAAGTTAATTGTTATGACTCTGGGAAAAGGTTTTCTCTGCTGACCGAAATGAAACTAAAAGTGTTTATTAATCATACGCCCCATGTACGCCATTGTGTGTGAGCTTTTTGTTTTCTAATCTTTGGGTCATATCAAAGGGACATCACTCGGTCCATTATGCAATTGCTACTGGGCCTCTCGAGAGGGAGCCTAATTTGAAAGGTAAAATAAAGGTGAAGTTGAGGGCTGGCAGAGACTTTACCCCGATGTGAATATTTAAAGCTGACTGGAGATTTCTCAAGAAGAAAATGCTTTGTAGTGTTTTATATAATATGGGACTAAGACTGCGTTAATTTTTTTTATTAAGAGTACGGCAGGTGATTTTTTTTATTTTTATACATATATTTTTCTTATTATGGTAAGGTTTTTTAATGATTTTATGTATTTTATATCATTGACTATAAATAATGATGCATAAATTTCCCTAAGCGTATTTCAGCATCAAGTTTCACTTTTTCAAGAATTCCTTTTCAGAGTTTTTTGTTTATTTATCTAAATTTAAAGCCACTTGACTCCCACATATGTGACTTTTACACTTTGCCTCCTAAATTACAAGATGTTGTAACGCAAGAAGAACAATCTGTGAAACCGCGAAGGCAATCTCATTAGAAATCTCTGTGAAATCCCAGCATTAGCAACTCGGCTCATGAAAGTTGGCCATAAATTTACCCAACTAATGCGCCGCATTATCACTCAACTGACGAAGGCTAAGAAGCTTTCACACGGTGAAAAATTCAAAACAAAGGAAATCATGTGTTTGTATATTTTGTTCAATTAATATAATTAAATAGCAAATAAATGTGCGCAAGGAACAACAGCCACAAAAAACTTAAAAATAGATTTTAAATAAGTGCCCCAAGCATGTGCACAAGTTAAGTTTTTTTTTTGTTGTGTTTCCCAAAATCTTTGTTTACATTGCTTAATTGAAAGTATTTTTCTGCTTCACAGATTTAGTTTTTTTAGCTAGTTTAGTTTGTTTTTACTATGCAGAAAGTAAAGCACATTTTCAATATTGAAAATGTGTAAATTTGTTAATGGGATTTTGCGGGGTTGCCATGAATAAAACATTAACCGAATAAAATGTAAAAACGAAATAAAAGAAATTCAAAAAATTTGCCATGCAAATATGTGTATACCGAAGGGGAATCAAGTCGGCATTGGTAATGGTTACCACTTCAAATGCAGCCACAGGCCGCCTTAAATAAATTTTCAAAATTTATCGTGCCCCATACGCACACACGCTCGCCCCAAAAAATAAAGAGCAAATATTTGCAAAGGAGCGAAAAAAGTTGGGGATTTTTAAGTTTGGGGTGGTTCTGAAGAGTTATTTTCCTTTTGTGGCTTTTAATTTATTGGCATATTCTGTACAGTTTTTTGCTTTTCACTTAGTTGAATGTATATTCTTGGTAGAGAATTTGGTAAGTTTTTATTTTTTGGAACGCTTTCTTTATTGCAATTGCGAACTTTTTTATGCCGGCTCAATAAAATCCCCCAGAATGTCTCTGCCAATATTATTTCTGGAGTCTGGTTTTGTTTTTATTACCCTAGCTAAGGGTATTTAAAATATTAAATAAATTTTAATCCATTGTGATTAGACTAATAAAAAATTTTCTTTCTAAATATCTTTGGCTGTTCTAAAGAAAATTTATTAATTTCATATACTTTTTTGACTTGATATTCAGCAGCACAGTGTTCTATAGTTCGGCTTACACTGAAGACAAATCTTCCTACGTCTCCACTGATTCTTTTGTATTCCGCCGTCTTATCAGCATCGGGAAAGCGTATTATATAACATAGTGTGGGAGTGAGAGGATGGGCAGGGCCGAGAGAGAAAGCAGATTGTGCGGCAGCCGCCCCAAAGCTTTATTTATTTCTGTTTACATTGCATTAAACATCTTGCAATCAAAAGGACAAAAAGAAGCACAATCACTAAAATCCAATTCAGCTTAATTAATTCAAAGTGCAAACAACCAGGAAAAGTGGGGGGCGGGGGGTTGCAATGTGGATAAGGGGACTGAGTAATAGGCAAATCGTGATATCTGGCCAAATTACCTTGGACGACGACGATGGGATTAGACAGATTGGGGATGTGCCACGCCTCTAATTGTGTTGTTTCAAGTGGTTTAGTCGCTGCTTAAGATAATTGCCTGGCTTAATTAGTTGGCCTTTGTGGCATGGGCGATAATTATAAATTAATGCCATTGACAGGCAGGACAATGAATCTAATGGCAGGCGATGCTCTTCAAAATTAAAACGAATTTACCGGACAGTTTTGGCAGTACGTAATTGAACGCAATCGACACGCCATGAACAAACCGGAAAAAGCGTGCATAAATCAAAGCATTTTCCCTCATTCACTCGGTCGTGAAAATGTCTGTCATCTTTTAGGCGAAAATTGTGTCCGCGTGTTTTTTGTATTCCTGTTCATGTGTTGACATCTGTAATTGGCCTGCGGGCTGACATTTAACGCTGCACGCAATCGATGGCTTTCACCCTTGCATTCCCCCATATCGTCACCGCTTTCCCTTTTGCGGAATTTCCCCCGCCTTTGCGGCGGAAAATTTTGTCGTATATTTGGTAGTTGTTTGTATTTGTTTTTGTCCCCAAGCGATAATTGAGTGAGTGCTTTAGTCGATCGTAAATGTTGCAAGTGGTAAATGCAAATATGTTGCAATTTGAAACTGAATTTGGGTTTGCCACATATATATACACCGATAAAAAATTCGTTGAAAATACAAATATTTTATACTCAATTTAAATATTTTTCGCTTTGATTTTATAATTGCTTTATTTATTTATTTATTTTAACTTTAAACATTTTTAACTTAAATAAAATGCTTTAAATCAAATAAAAACTGTTATATAACTAACATTTTCAAATTAGTTATACATTTTTTTAAATTAAATCATGCAATTTTATATGAACTGTATTTAATATTATTGTTAAGTCAATAATCAGATATTTATTTTTACTATTTAATTTATTATCAGTGTACGCAAAATGTCACTTTGTAAAGTTTGTATGCCATTTGTTGTGCAGTGAGCATTTCACAGGGTTTTATCAACACGAAAATCAGTAAAGAAATACGGGCTGCAAAAGAGGGACACAATGAATGTGAAATGAATTACCATATATTTGTTTTTTTGAGTTTAGTTCCCAGCTATGAGGATGTATTAATTACTGCACATAAATAAAGTTTTTAAATTTGTATGACTTTTATTTAAAGTAAGACACTAATTTTAAATGTCTTCATATAAAGATTAAATGCTTTTTTTTCCTGCTTTTCATTAATTTGTATTTATATTCTCTCTAAATGACGCACTCAACTTAATTAGCTTTCATAAATCATACCCCCAGAAAAATATTTTAATTAAGTCATGACTATCCCTTAAGCTGCTTCCGTTCAACTGAGATTCTTCGAATCTCAATCACAATTACAAATGGAAGCATAAGCTTCTCTCAAATTACCATCAAAATCCCAGACATTCGACATTGATCCATTTCCCTTGTTGGTTCCTCTGCTTTTCCTCTTCTCTTGCTGGAATTTCCCCGTTCAGCTCTGCTGCATTTCACTGCTTTTTCCTTTTGGTCATGTTTTCCTGAGGTTTTTGGCACTGACGACCCATTTGGTTTGCTTTAACTGCTGCAGGCTATTGGCATAGTCAGGGAAATGCAGGCCCATCTCACTTCATTTCCTTTCACTCCTTTCAATTTTCAGTTTGCGGTTTGATTTTACATTTGTAATTGCAGTAGCATTGTATTGGAAAAAAATGTGTTCCTTCGAATTGGCTTGAATTAAAAATGGTTACTCAAACGATAGAAAACCTATAAATATGATTTTGTTGACAAATAATAAAATCTATTTAAGATTCAGATTTATGGTTAATAATCTAATTTTGTAACGCATAATTTTTTACAATTAAAATGAAAAAGATAAGGCCAATTAATTAAAACAAGAAATCAATTTAGTTGTTCATAAACGCCTTTAATGATTAATTTCTGAGCCGTGATCTTAAATTGCATAACCATGTCATCATATTATTAATAAATAGCTCTGGTACCTTATTATAATACCACACTAAACCTATTTCTATATTATCAAAGAGGACAAAGCACTCAAAGAAGATCCTTTAATGCCCTGCC